GCAGTGAGAGTTGCTTCGCCTGCGCAACAGGAAACCAAATTACAGCAGCCCAATGATGAGATGTCAGCTCCACCTCCCTTCGCAGCACCAGCAAGCGGCGGGCACAGGCGGTGGAGGATGCTCGGATGCGTGTGAGACGGCAGTTGCATCCGCATAAATGGCAATCGCAGTCTGTAGTGCCACGGAGAAGCAGTGGGTGCGCATCGTCGTCGTCTTCCTCTTTTCACTTTTTTTTCTTTTTTTTCCCCTTGAAGACGCATGGTGGCCGTGGCACACGCGACAGCACGTCAGCAAGCAAATGCGCTTTTCATTTGCTGCCTCCCTTTTCTCTCGCACTGCCGTCCGACCCACTCCGCTCCATCCCGCTCCTTTTGCGGGGGCTCTTCGAATAAATTTATATTTACAGCCGTTAGAGCGTGCTCGCTGCATATTCGCAGTCCTCTTGCTTTTCAAACCGCGACTACCATTATTCTCTGGCTGCACTCTGTCGCCGTCTTCACTCGCCTAACCCGCACAGCGGTGAGGGGGCTCGCCCCGTGAATGCTGGTCCCAGGCACTACTTGGCGCTGCCCTCAGCACGTCCTCCCATTCTCTGTTTTTCTAGTAAAAAGGCGAAGTGGTGTGTTATTTTTTTTTGTTTAATTCCGCGCAGCTGCAGAAATGCTGCAGAAGCAGTGAGACGCAAGGCAGAGGCGGAGGCGATGGCAGGGCAGCAGAAAAGTCCGCCCACGGCTTCCTCTTTGCCTCTTGTGCAGAGGGCGGCCCACACCGACGACAACCAACAACAAGAACAAACTTGCAGCATTCAACGACTCTTTATTTTCTTCTTGTAATTTTTCTTTTTCGTCTTATTGCTCGTGTTGTTTTGTCCCCCAACGACCAACACCTCCGGTCGTAGCGTTGGCGCGCTGAAAGGGCGATTCCCACCACACGCGCAAAGGCCTTCCGCAACGCATCCACCGCCGACGGTCACACGCCAGTCCGCTTCCCCCGGCTTCCTGACTGCAGCCCACACCACAACTGACTTCGTCGCACAGCCGGCCAGCAGCCAAAGCCGCGGGGTGCGTGTTCGTTAAGGTGTCCGGCGGCTGTCATAAAGGGCGCCCATTTTCAACCCCGGAAGCATAGTCATAAATGCCGACGGATTGAAGCATTTTCTGCTTGCTTGTATTGCCGCCCACGACGTGCGTGCCAGGCAAGATTCTAGTGGTAGGAGATGAGACGACTAAGAAAGCCCGAGACAGCTTCCCGACCATATGGGACATACGAAAGGGAATACCATATCAAGCATGCGTACTGCAGCAAGCCGCAAAGACTACACAGAAAGGCAGACTTGTACACCATGGCCACTATCCAAGTGAGGAGCAAGGAACCAAGATAGAGCATGGAGGCAGTCCGCCGATACTCATCAAACATGTATTGAAGTTGTGCTCGAGGGCCCATGAGAATAAATGTGCTCGCCAAAGACATTACAGACCCCAGAGTTGACAAGACCGAGTATTTCCAGTACGATCCAATGCCCAAGGCGACCCAACCCATAATAGAGGAGAAAAAGCCCAACGCCGTAAAGAGCACATATCCCTGAACCCTTGAGGACCAGGAAAGCCCTTGGAACAATTGCTCCTCACTATCGTTGAGAACGGCATGCTCAACCACCTCCACCGGCAGAGTCATTGGTCAAGGTGCGATCGCAGCGCGAGATTAATTTGTGTTATGAATTGATGCTCGGCCCTTTTGTGGCCAACTTTTTTTTTGTTTATCCTTGAGTTAATTTCTGAGAGATTATTTGCCCCACACCATGAGAATGAGCGGAGAAGGCGTAGCGCGATACAGTGAGAGGGAGAGAGATAATTACAAACACAAACGTGCATGCAACTGTAGAGACAGACGCACTCGAGAAGAAGTTGTTCGCCGACTAGGAAGCTGTTCGGGCGGCGCTGCCCAACTAACGGCGGGCATGCGAGATTGAGGCGGGGCAAAGAGGAAGGTAGGAGGGAGTGCAGAAGAACAAATCCATGTCCACAGGAAAAAAACTGCAGTTTGGTAGAGACGCGAAAAAGAGAAAAGCACCCAGAAGGCTGCGGTGCTCACGCAACCTCACCCCACGGTCTCCAGAAGAGGCAATAAGCAAAAGAGGGAAAGTTGGTCTCCACGTTGCCGTCTGCTTGCCTTGCTGCCGCGGCTGCTGTTTTCTCCACCTTTTGTGTCGCAGAGCGAAGTGTGCCACCGCAGCTAGAACACGAGTTGTGCGTCGGTACCGCAGAAAGGGCAAGGCGAGAACGCCGGCAACGCAACTCAGGCGCATCGATGTCAACGGGTAGAACACGCCCCCAAGTTTACTGTTTGCATCCGCCGCTGCCTGCGCCTCTGGGAAGGGACCGCTGCCGCCAAGTCTCAACTGCCGCAAAGTGACGAGACGACGCCCGACGCAACTGTTCCCGCATCCGTCCGTCCCCATTCGCCCAAATACGAGCCGGAGGGAAGGGGAAAGGGGAAAAACGCCGACAGGAAAAGCCACCAACATTATACCCTTGGATAAACCAATAGCTGATTCAATATAATAAAGGCAAAAGTAAAAAATAAAGAACAAAGTGCTTTTCGTTACCGACGTAGAGAGGAGAAAGTGGCCGTGAGGCGTCACGATCAACCTCAAATTCTTATCTGCTCAAGGCCTGCGGTGTCTTGGCATTTTACACCGCTTCCACGGCGGCAGCAGGGTCGCGCTCTTGGCACCTGCACGTTAGCACATCCAATGAACAGCGTCAGAACTCCACATAGTGTCGCGGCAATAGAAAGCGCCGCAACAGCAAAGACGACCACCTCCCGTCACGAGGCACAGGCGAAAGTAACGCCAAAAAGTCCGGCCTCCGACGCCGCAACACAGCCGGCGAGCCCTTTGGCCATAACTGTTGTGAATCGTGTGTGTCGCCCAAGGCGGGCGAACGGCTTTCCTGGGCAGCGCGGCGCAACCCCTTCACTCAGGCGGGGGTGGTGAGGCTCTGGCCCACCAGCTGCATGGGGACCGGAAAGAAAAAAAGGCAACCCCCCCCCCTCTCCCCCAACGCGGCTATAGTGAGCCAAGCAGCGTGCTGGGGCGGCCGGGGAGCGTCGCACCACGAGGGCACGCCAGCCACCGGCGCCCGCCTCCCCGGTTTTCCGCCACAGCCGTCAACCTTTGCTTCCTCGGCGATGCTCCACCCAAGCCAAAGGGCCCGCGTTTCGATGAGCCTCGGATGATCACTCCCGGAGCAGCAAAACCGCAAAACAAAACAAAGACGGGGAAAGAAGAATTCCGTATTCGGCAAGCCCACGCAAAACCAACAATGACAGGAAAATAAAACAACACACACACACGTGCGCGCGCGAAGAGAGAAAAGAAACAAAAGGCGGCGGAGTAATATTCACAGGGTTGGCCCCACATAAACAAGACAAAAACAAAAACACAAATCAATCAAAAGGAAAACAAAAGGAGTAAATTAACTAACCTTACCATCAGCGCCCCACAGTTCATCTTATATGCGTCTAATATAATCCACAGAGGCGTATATAGCTCCACTTCTTCAGCTTCGCCTCCATATAACGAGGGAGAAAAAAATCAGTAAAGTTATCTATCTCTCTAACACATAATATAGCCGTATAACAAGCATTGTATGCACACCCTCGTCTATGCACAGATGCCTACATAGAATGGAAGGGCATGTAGAAGTGTACGTCCGCACGGAATAAGCGAAAATCTTGAAAGCGTGGGAGAGGAGAACAAGAAGCACAAAAAAGAAACAAAAAAAAAGGAAACTCTGGTATGATGAAGGAATATAACGTGAAGTGAAAAAAAAAGAACAATAGGAAGAGAAACCATTCAACATAAGCAAAGGAGAAACGTCGCCTCTCAGAGAGAGACACATCCCACTGTCACTTCACTAGTGTGAGTAATTGCGTATCTGCAAGTGTGCTTGTTTATTTTCCTTCTTCTTTTTCAGGAAACCACCCAGCCCCCCGCCTTTTTTTTTCTGCTTGTTTTGCACTCTATGCCTCTACTGCGTATCGCCGATCTTCACTGGGTAAATGAGTTCCACCACTTTGTCCCACGTCATTGCGCGTATGCCGTCGAGACCGTCAAGTTCAGTGTGGGTACACAAGACGATGTCTGCAACATGCAAGTCACTCTCCACGGTGGCACCGCCCTCGTCAATAATAAGCTTGGCCGTGTTGTAGTGTCTGGAGGAGACAAAGCCCTCGGTGAATCCGACTCGTTTCTGAGAGAGCGGGAGAACCTCGTGACGAAATCCGTAGGCAGCTTCCTCAAGCCACCGTTGACTGCGCAGCGAATCACGCACGTAGGTTTCTGGTAATATCCAACAACCACGCACCAGAGCCGTGAGTAACTTAATAGTTAACTGGCCGTTTGTAATAAGGTGAGTCAGGTTGGAAGGAACGGGTGTGTTGGACCGACACTCTGCAACGGTGGCATGAGGCAATTGCTTAATTTCGCTTAACAGCTCCGAGGCATCAAATCCACTAATTGTGAAAACCCGCGGTTCCTCCGACCGACTCCTCTTTGTCGGGCACGTTGTCATGGACAGCGGCACGTTAAGCGACGAGGCACTTCGAAGCCGTTTGCCCACACAGTTTTGCCGCTGCGGAGTGGGAGAAGCAGAAGCGTTTCTTATCGAACGACGTAACTCTTCATCAAGACGCTTTTCAAGTAGAATACACCTGTTTGTCGCGGCAGAAAGCTCAATATCAAGATTTTCCACTTTCTTGCACGTGGAAAGATACTTGCCCCTGTATTCCTCCACAAGTTCGTCCGCGTGTTTCTTTTCACGGGACAGTTGCTGCATGGCGCCCCTATCACATCTCGCCTCCTCCAAGTTCGTTCGCAAGTCAGAGATTATGCCTCTGCACTCCACTTCGTGCCGCATTTTCTCTTGCACGGCGGATGCAAGCTCACTCCTCACACGCACAAGTTCCTCCTGAGTGGAGGTGAGCTGTTCCTTTACTTCTCGCAAGTCCCTTGAATAATCGGCATCCGATGTGTCTTGCTGCGCCATCAGCCGTTGTACTCGTTCCTCTGCGTAGTTGAGAGCCTCGTGTGCCGCCTCAGCCTCCTTGGAAGTGGAAATGTGTTCTTGCTCCATTGTCAAAACAGCTTCCTTTGCAGCGGCAAGCTCCTTTTCAAGGTGACTGATGTGCTTCTCGCGTTGGGCGAGGATGGTCGTCACGGTCGACAGCTCCTCAGACGTCCTCGTCAGCTGGCGCCGTAGGGAGGACCGCTCCTCCTCCATGGACAGCCTGCCCCCCTTCGCCTCTCGCAAAAGCGCTTCAGTCTGGAGCTGTTGCTGGCACAGGGCAAGACGATGCTCATCGTGAAGACGCTTGATTTCCTTTTCGTGATCCAACTTTTGCTGCCTTGACTCCTCCTCCGCGGTCTGATGCCGATGACGCAAGGAGGCAAGCTCATCACTGAGGGCGCGGGATTTCTCCTTTTGTGTCTGCAACTCTTCCCGGAGATCCTTTACCATTTCGTCCTTGGAGACGGTGATCTGGCGGACGCGCTCTTCGCTTAGCGTCATGTGAGAGTTTAATGCATCGGCATGTGATTTCTCGGACTCCTCCACAAACTCCGCGTGCATCTTTTCCAGCTCAATGCAGCGTCTGGAATATTCTTCTATTGTGCGCCTGGAGTCCTCATATTTCGCTCGAATATCTTTCAGGTGATCGCGCAAGTCTTCATTTTCATTGTGAAAGCGTGTGCGCTCCTGATCCAGGTGCATGTTTCTTTCCTCTAGTTCCGCTAGCTCCTCGGAAAGCTTGAAGGCCTGCTCCCGCAGAGTTTCGGTGCGGGAGTTACATTCTAGGTCTGTGCGCTCCGTCATCTCCGTGAGACGCTGCGCATGTTCCGCCTTGAGGCTATCAAGCTGTTGTTTTAGAAACTCGGTTTCGTTCTTTCGCTGGTCCATTGTCTCCTTTAATTGTAGCTCAAGCGTATGGCGCCCCTTCACCTCACGCGCCGCCCGGCTGTTCGCCTCATCCAACTCCCCTTTCATAGTATTAACGTAATCTCGCATGGTCTTTAGCTCCTCTCGTGCCTGCGCAAGTTCAAATCGCGCAATCTCCAAGTCCCGTTGGGCGTTTGACCACTTCAGACGTTCGCGGGTCATTTGGCTTACCCGTGCGCGCAAGTCGTCCAGCTCCTGGAACGACGCAAAGGCCGAGTTTGACACAGAAAGGCGCGCAGAGAGACGCTGCGAAGGGCAATGCAGTGGCCGCATGGAACTTATACTGAAGGGCGTCTTGGTCAATTCAACTTCAGGCTCTGCCCCTGCTTTGGACGCCGCCGTCCGTCCGTCCTGTTTGCTGTCAAGCTGCGGATTTGCCCTCTCGCCGGCCTCCGGGATCGGGTCCGATATGTGAATGCTCTTCTGCAGCCACAGGCTGTCGCTGTCGTCGGCGCTCATTGGAGGCTCCGTCAGACCGTCAAGCGTGGCAACAAGTCGGCGCTGTTTCTGCTGCGTGTGCGTGGATGCGTGAGACGCGGGTGACCTCTTCCTTCGGCCTCCCTTGACAAATGAGTTTGTGGAAACAAAGCGGCAGAGACTAACAACAAGGGCGCAGCCGAAGGCCAAGGTCAAAGCCCCCACTCACGACGCAGCCCGCGCAGGACAAAACAAACTTCCCTCACGCTCCCTCCACGCGCCCTGGTCACCGTCGTGCGGGAGGAGGAAGGCGGAGTGGAGCCTAAAAGCGAGGGAAAAGGTAAAAGTGCAGCAAACAACAACAACAACAACAACACAAATGCGGAATGGCCCCACCCCATGCTTCAATCGCGGCGACTACCAGTGGAAGATGCCGTAGAGGACGAACCCAAGGAAAGGGAACAAGTCTCATCGCGCAGACAACCTTTTCATCTGACATCCTCCCCAAACGGGTTCCTAAAAAGCAATCTGAAAAACAACAACAAGAAAGAAAGAAAAAAGCAGAGGGGTTAATGAATGCGGAAAAGGGCGTTTCTGCAGCAGCAAAAAAAACAAAAAAAACAAAAAAAAAACAAACAACAACAACCTTCATGCAGACCCGCACACCCACATCAGAGCCCAGCTCCTGGCAAAATCTGGCTACCAAACGGCATACATGCACGCAGAAAGCTCATGTCCCCCCCCCCTTTTTTTTCTTTTTTTCTTTTCACCTTCTCTTCATCGCTTTAAGGTTGAATGGAATAAAAAACGAAGAAAATGAAACGGGCACCCCCTTACGCAGTTGGATGTAAAAACTGGTCGATCAGTCTAGAGAACAGCCAACGTTGCGACTCCTCCACGGGAGTGGAGGCACCATCCTTGATCAATTCATGCACCTTTGACGCCTGCTCTTCCTCAGTCGCGTGGCTGACAAACGCGGCAGGGACGCAAAAAGTAACACCATATTTGTTTACGGCGGAAGGATCATCCTGCACCTCGTCAATGATGGCCCTCCAAGCCTGCAGATCGCCTTTACGAATAACACGCACATACGGACTTTCAGCCCCTCGTTTCTGCCTCTCCCGCTCCTTTATAAATGCAGGTAAGACTTCATCGGAAGCATCAACGTCAACAAAAAAACTTGTGCGTTCGTCGTACGGCGCAAAGATTCCCTTTGAGAAATGCGTCGGGGAAAATTTGTCCTTCTCTCTCGAAAGGTCTTGCGAGCCCGCACCAGAAACTTCAAGTTTTTTTATGCTTTCCATGCGACGGATTCTGCCGCTTTGAATCCCCGAGTTATCCCCAAGCAGGCGAAGAAACTCTCCCACGTTTGCGGCTGTCACCCTGACGTGAATACCGTTGGGAATGAGTTCCACAAGTCTATCGTTCCGTGGCACACTAAACGTCAGGTTAAGCTGTGCAATCTGTGACCCTGTTATTTGGCCTCTTTTTAGCCCATCTACCTTAGCATAGAAGTCTGCCTCTGACGGACCCAATTCGGCGGAGATTGAGTCACCCGTGTTTGCCTTGGGTATCGATGTATCTGATGCCGCTGGAAAGGTCAAACTACTGGGGCTCATCAGACCTCCATCCACGGCGTGCGGAGAGGCAATTGGCGGCTCTTTTTCCTGCTGTGTCTTGCCCGTCGCAACAGGAACTGAGGCGCTTCGGACTCGCTGAGCTGGTACGGAGGGCAAAGGTTCCCCGTCTGTTTTAGGTCCGTGTGCTTCGCTTGTGCGGGCGTTGCGGTAACGTTGGACGCACTCCAGATACCTGGGGAGGTCCTTGTACTGCACATTGATGGTCGAACCGTTTTCAATGAGGTCTTGTATCGTTCCATCAGGCAACGGGGCAACCCACTTCAGCTCAGCCTTTTCAAAATCACTCCGACTGTAGGTGACAAGCTCGTCAAGAAACCCAAAGAACTCCCTGTTGGACGTTGGGGAAAGCAGAAGATTGGGCTCCTCACGAGTGCGACTGCCTGCTTCCGCCTCCGCCGCTCCCTCTCCCTCAACCCGAATAGACGAGGAAGACTTCTTCTGCTCCACTCGAGATCGTCCCATTGCGCTGTTGCCTGCCTTCTGGGAGTAGTCTCTAAGTGTGTCTATGGCAGCTTGGCCCACATTGATCTCAAATGCCTCACCAAAGGTGGCCAAGCAGACAGCCATCTTCCCCACAACAGCACGGACCTCACCCTGTTCAAAGGGTGACAAGGCGGTCTCGTTGTTGTATGCAAGGTTGGACAACTCCCCCATGCAGGACATCATCTGCATCAATGAATGCAGTGCGACCCTGTTCTTTGGAAGATTACCCACTAGCCCCAAACGTTTTCGGTTCTCGAGAGCAATGTCTTCAAAGGTGGGCGTGTGGGCCGAAGACATCTCCCTCGAGTGCATTTCCCAAGAGTTGTTTTTTTTTTGTTTTTGTTTTTTTTTTCCGGACTTGGCTGACGAGCAAAGAAAAAAAAAAACGAGTGCCAATCCTGCCCCCACAAGAGGCACGCACAGACAAATTAGAAGGAAGTAACAACATTCTCACTGCGTGTCAAACTGTTCCTCCCCAGTCTCAGAGGCGCCGGAGAAAATTACTCGTGAAGGGAAGAGCGTGGTAGGTTCAAAAAGAAAGAAAAATGGAACAACACACACGGACACATAAACAGGTCGAATAAAAGCAAACGCAATTTTTCCAGCTGCCCTACGCGGGTACGGGGCCCCTCACCGACACTTTCCAGTAGCGGTAGACGAAGTCATCCAGCACCTGGGACGTGTCAGAGGAAGTTAGCCGGAGACCGCTCAATCTACAACGTCTGTCTGGCCCCTTCGTCTTGTCCAACGGCGGCACGGGTGACGAGGAAAAAGTGTCCAAGAGAGAAAGAAGCTCGGCAATAAGGGGAGAAACGTTGGCTTGCACATCTTCTGAGCATCGATGATAGGCAGTGGAGCGTGCCACACCCAGCAAATGAAGAATATTTGCATGATTTTTCAGCTCTTCATCGACGTGGGAGATAATGGCGGAATTGTGATGCATCACCGCCTGCATGGTGGTTCCTGAGAAAGACTCACCCCGATGAGGAATACATGTGCACGTCAACTGTATGCAGTACCGGCATGTGTCTGTAAGGGATGAAAGAAGCAAGGCCTCCGACGCGGACTGAGGCAACGTCGCGGCCGAGGCGGCAAACACCTCATTGACGCTCTCCAACAACGCCTCCAGATCCAAGAGCAGAGTCGAGTTCAGCAAGACTGCACGTACCCCACCGTGGCTTTCCACCCAATCCTGCACACATTGGCGGAGGGTAGAGGCCAGCGGTGGGATCTGCAACACTGGAAAGACCGAAACATGCTGGAAGGTCTGTTCAAATTCCAAAAAAGGCGCCATGGAAACAAAACCACAGTGGCTCTTGCCCGTGTGCTCGCTCTGGAAAAAAAACTCAAGTGGGAGATCTCTCGCTACTTTGCGCGCTATCGGCTGCGGTGCATTGCTGCGTGCCCCCCAAGCCGAAAGGCCGCGCAAGATAGCACCTGCCTCATACCAGCGAGGAACATCGTCGCTCAAAATTCGCTCAAGCACCGACACTACCTCCTCCAGCTCCGTTGGGCTGAGGGCTGACGTCATGCCGCTTCCACTAGAGCCCGGCACCGCCGAAGCCCCAATGGAAAGCCTCGGCAGTGGAGCAGCGGCATGCCCCTCCTCACGCGGCATCCCTGCACCCGCCGCATCATCCGCTTTCACTGGCGCCTCGCCAACCCAATCACTCAGCGACGGCGTCGTAACCGGCGGGGAAGCAAACAGTTCGTCCAACAGGTCCATCGTCCTCACTTGAGTTGGCGCCTGCGACGGGGGACACGAATCCGTTGGGGTGCCGTTACAGTCCCCGCCTGCTGCCGCACCAGGCCTACGCTCGTCTGCAGACACAGGGCAGCTCCGCATTACAGCCCTAAGAGGGACCAAACGAAAAGCAATAGCAAACCAAAAGTTAGCATTCCCCAGACAGAAATACGCAACCGCGCACACGCAAACGCGCAACAAAAAAAGCCACCACAACAACAGGATACACAAAAGCAACGGGAGCAATGCAGAGTAAAAACACATTTTAAGAACTAGTTCCTCCTACAGAAAACTTATAAATGCAGGGAGGTGCTCCCCCAGCACCACCGCACTGGACAACACCGCACCCAGCTGAGCAAGCAACAAGAACGAAACGCCTCAGCACGTAGACCGCAGAAATCAAAGATCAAATTCCGGTGCGCCGTCGAGCCGCAACGGCAATTCGCGGTGCGGCCGCGCTTCGATAGCTGCTGGCAGAAGACGCACCTTGAAAGATAATGCCATGAACGTTGCCCACCACGTGTTTCCCGCGTGTACTCAAAAACTCCAGCGGCTGCGTCAGTCCTGCCGTTGCGCTTTGGAGTTTGCTCAAATCAATCGTCTGACCGTCGCCCATCTCCGCCGCTTCACTGTATGCAGAAACGTCTAGGACGAAGGACTGGCACGCGCTAAAAGCACAGAAAAGGCAAAAAAAGAAAAGCGGACAAGAAAAAGAAGAAACGTCTGGGAAACACACAGAAAAAGTACCGCCAGTATTAATAATATTACTTCTCTGTAACTATGGGCCGTGATGGGGGATCCCTTTTTTTGTTCGTTACGTCGACACCACTCATGTTTCAAATTCGATAGGCGACAGCCAACAACAACAACAATAAGAAGAATAAGGGGATCGGAGAAAGCGAGTGCGGCGATCACCGAATCTCGGCAAAGGGGTCCCACACACGTTCGGCGGATCCACGTGAACGGTCCACGCGCAGCACCACCATAAATGTGTCAAGAATCGCCTTGATGTTCTTCACGAGAAACACGCTTAGCATCTGCTGGTCTCGCCACCAGAGCTGCGTTCGTACCGCCAACAAGGGAGCATCGCACACAAGAATAAGAAGCAGCATGTATTGAAGAATACGACGCTTGTGGCTTCCACCTACATCAGTGCTGCTCCACTGATTGGTGGCATCGCGCAACCTCTTCGGCAAACACGCAAGCTCTGCCTGCTCAACCCCATCACGTGCATAAAATAAGTGAACCACACCAACGTTGTTCCCGACAAACGCAATGCTGACAATGATAAAAATAAGCACCCTAAACGGTTTCGACAGTGTTGGAAGAGAACTTTCTGGTGCAGAGGGAAAAACAACAGAGCCGTACACAGTGAAAATGTCAAGGGAATTTAGCAAGTGAAGGAGAAAAAGGTTGAAGTTATTGTTGAAGTTTTCCACAATACTGTTCTCCGCCACAGACGTGTCATCCGGCCCTGACCGCTCACGCGCCGCGGTAGCGTACAACGGAAGTTGAACAATAGAAACCGTTAAGACGAGCATCGCAAAGAGACCACTGGAGCTGAGCCTCCGCGGCTTCGGCTCCTCCTCCGCACGGGGGGTAAACGTCACACCCCACAAAGCGGCTGTTTTCCCCACAAACAGCAGAACACTCAAAACAGTCTGGACGTAAAGGCCCCGGTAGCGCATAAATATATATGTTGCAAAAACACACACGTCCGCAACCACAACGGCGGCCGCGGCAGCACCAACAAAGTGAAAAAAAAACGCGTCGCACAAGATCTGTTGAGCCACAAAGGAAATCAAGGTCAGCCCAATGACGGCGAGGGTACCAAAATGGGGGGTGGATGGACAGCGTGAGAGGCCTAACGTCAATGCCGCAAAAACTACAACACAAAACACACACGGGAGCGTAAAACATATCCCGAGGACAGTCATGACCTCCCCAAGTCCGTCGTTCATAAGTATGGAGTCATGGCTCACAATCTCAGAAATGCCAAAGGAGACACACGCAAAGGATCCTCCTGCAACCACGGAGAAAACAACAAAGGTAAGAAAGTACACACGCCGCTGGGCAACTTTGCGCTCTACCTCCAAGGCCTCGCTTGTAGCGAGTGTATCCAGTTCTCGGTGCATTACCTTCCTTCCCACGAGGAAATTCCTTGAAAGATAACAATGCACAAATCCATAGAAAAAGGAAGAAAAAAAAGGCACGAAAACCTCCCAATATATGCGTACGTGCAGGTTTCAACCCATACATGTGTGCGGTCATGCACACGCACATAGACACAGGCGGAGGTATTTGTATCTGATAAAGCCCAATAGTACGCAAATAGAAAAAAAATGAATAAATAAAATAAATAGCTGATAGTAACACTCTAGAATCGGACCAATAAATATAAAAGGAAGTATTTATGGTTCCATCTTAGGAGACTATGTTTTTTCTTTTTTTTCCTGCTTACTTTTCCTTCAGGTAATTGTCGCCCCTCATACCGTCTACGTAATTGAGCGCCATTGCAAAATAAAGCCATACGCCCGCCGTAGAAGACACAGCGTCTCACGGTCTTACCGTGGAATGTCTCCTTTCTGTCGCACCTCTATGGGGTAGCTCTGCACGGAAGGGTAATCGTACAACACCTTGTGGTCCTCTAACTTGCATTTCCCGCTCCACAAATCCACACTCTTTGGGTCAATTCCTTTCTCCGCCGCAAGTTCATTTTTAAGCTCCCACACGTGTTTCATGGGGTCCACCATCTTCCTGTACGCGTTAGGATACGGATCATGGGCGAGTCCAGACTCACTCGTATTAGCCTGCTGCTGCTGCTGCTGCTGGTAATATTGCTGTGGTTGTTGTTGGTACGGTCGATGCTCTGGCATGCGAGGCTGGTTTGTGTTTGCTTCTGCAGCCTGCGGTGTCGAAGTTGGCGTGCCTGGATGGATGCCAGGTGAAAGCTTTCCAGCCAGCACATCCCTGTACCGCTGCCGCAACGTTCGTGCGTCGAGGCAGTCGGAAAAGTTTACCCCCCGTTCGTATAGATCCTTTGTGATGTCGGTGATCTTCATGGTGTCGGCAGGGCTTTCGTTGGGCTCCACTTCCACCTCAATGGTCTCCACCTCAATCTCTTCCACTACCACCTCCTCCGCCGACTTCCTTGCGGTGTCCTGCACCCGCTCGGCCTCAACGCGCTCAGGAGGCCGCTTGTCGTTCCCTAGTGCCTTCGCGAGAGGAGGTGGCTCCACGATAAATTCATCATCCTCCGTTTCAGCTCCCTTCACCTCCGCCGCAGCAGCAGAAGCAGATCCAGCTTCCTCAGCCGACTTGGGGGGTGACGCAAAGGAGGCGTCCTTTGGTGGGGCCTCGGTGCCCCACATTAGCTTAAGCAGCGCGTCGGCCTCAGCCTGGATGGAACGCGCCTCGTCCTGCAGGTTTGACAGACGTGCCGTGTACGCCTTCATGGAGGCCGACAGCGTTGTGCATTTCCCCTTGAACTGGTCATCCTCAACGTTGGCACGTTTTAGGCCATCCTGCACCGCCCGCATGGCGGCCCGCGAAGCATCGCTCATGTCCGCTAAATCCAACCCTTGTCCTTTGCACTCCTCCTTCAATGCAGACAGCTGCTTAGTCAGAGCATCGCGCGCATCGCTGGTCATGGAAAGAAAACGCACATCAATGGCTCTCACACCGCCAGAGAGACATAGTCGACGAAACATCATGAAACTCTCGTCCCCTACGTATGTCTCTTTGCTCACACCACAGCTGTCCTTTTCCAGCTATATACAAGTCTAGGTATATTGATATTTATATAGATATATAAATATATGTGAGTGTATGCGTATTATACTTTATCGCCTGAGTAAATTCCGTGTGGACAACAAAGCGGAGGGAGACAGAAAAACAACAGCTAGAAACAGCAACTAGGAGGAAAGAAAATACACACGATACTTTTCAACGGAGCACCATCGACATCGCCCAGGTGAGACGCATATTCATCCCAGAGCTTTATAGCACATGCACGGCTTCCACACGACGCTTAAACGGAGAGAGGGCACGGCTGGCTTCCTTTTGTTCCATGCCGACTCGTAAAGGCCTTTCGCTCCGCTTCAGTGCAGATGATGCGCAGCGTCAGTGAGCACGTGGGGCATTGGGCGACGTCGGCGCCAGCGGCAAAGTCCTCGAGGGAAAGCTCAAATAGGTCGCCACACGGGCACGGGTATCGCAGCATCTCTCCCTCCACGTGCATCTCACTCAGCGCCACCTCCTCGTAGTGAAAAGTGTCCATCACCCACCAGAGCGCCGCGTCCCGGGGACGACGGTGCGCAGCCGCTCGCAAAAACGCACAACAGACTGCGGCAAACCCACAAGTGAAGAAGAGAGAAAAATAAAAGTAAAAGTGGAAATGAGGAGGCGGTAGCAGAGAAGCCCAAATTTCCGTCCAGGGTGCTCCCCATTTCTCCTCGCGCGCCAAGAGCAGCAAGAAAAGGGCTCAGCGATCCTGACGAAGACAGACAGAGAGAGCAAGGAAGAAAAACCAAAAAAAAAAAAGGGTAAATAAAGAACTATGGGCGCCATCAAAGACGTGGACAGACAGTTCCATTAGCTCCAAAGTTGGTTTCAATGGCCGCGGCAGCGATCAAAGTTGACCCCGTCCCTGGAGCATATCATAAGCACAAGCATAAAGAGCAAAACTATAACAACGAGAGCAACGGCGACACCGATAGCAATCCGCCGGCAGAGAGACTGGCGCTCCAGACTCCTTGCATTCTGTCGGAATGCCGATGATTCGCCCTCAAGCGCGGAGGACTGCAATAACAGCGCATCAAGTCTGTCCTCGCGGGACAATAATTTATCCACATTCGCGATCATGGTCCCCTTGACGGTTTCGATTTTTGAAGAAAGATCACGTATTTTTGTGCTCTGTGCGTCGTTAAACAACTCCACCTCCTTCCTCAACTCGGCAGCCATACTAGCAGGGTTGCCACACTGTGAGCTGCAGTGTCGCCGAGCAGCCTCTAGAAACCTGAATGAAGTTACGCGGCTGCAGGATTCCTCAGTGACGCACATGTACACGGTCCCGTCCCTGTGCGGCAATATGTCGTACGAGTAGCCGTTGTACGTGACGCACCTCCGCTCCACAAGTGGCCTCTTGATGCTGGCGAGCACCTTCTTGGCGCTCGCCGCGTGCACGCTCGGGACAGCCTGAGCCTCGGCTAAGGGAACCCCCTCCGCGGACTCCACAAGGGCATAAAGAATCGTCACCATACTAGCCACCCATAAAGGCGAGGACACCTAAAACGGAAAAAAAAACCAGCCGTAAAGCAAGACACAAGAAACCCGCAGAAGTCGCAAGCAGAAAAAATGGAAGCAAACACGTAAATCAAAAAAAAAGAAAAAACAGCAACAACAACAACAACATGTATGGGGGAGGGTAGAGAGGAGAAGGACTTCAAGTGGGTCCATTGCCGTCAGCAACTCTCATGTTCTGCGCCGCACAGCATCTCAAACGTTCCAATACGTAAGGCCACAAATGCGGAAAGTGGAGAAGTAACACATCAACAACAGGTGAAATCCCTTTTCATCGCAACAACAACGACAACAACAAAAAAAGCACCCTTCAGCTTCGAAACGCCGTCTCTAGCTTTATTTTGGGATCCACCTCCAGCTGCTGCGAGCCATACCTCCAGTTCGACAGCCACCGCTGAAACCACATGAGCGCCACGGAAGGCGTCACCCTCAACATCGCATCCCGCACACTCGCATGTGTCATGGCCGTGAAGCGGCGGGCTCGACGCGACTGGCGAATATAACGCTCTGCCCGTTCACGCCGCAGAGTTTCAAACTGCTTAAAGACGTACTCAAATCCCGTGTCGCTGTACAAAGGAACATCAAGCAACGACGCCGCCAACAGCGCAGCATCCTCCACGCACAAAGAAGCATCTTGCGCCAGGAAGGAGGGCAATGAACCATGCGCAGCTTCTCCTATTAGCACCGCGCGCTTGTTAAACCATCGCGGCATAACAGGAACCTCCACGAGTTCAATGGGGACAGCCACCTCCGCCCGACGCAAAAGACCACTGACGTCATCACCAAAGACAGCAAATTCGCGGTGTAGCAAGGCACGATAGACATCCCGCACCGCCATGGCATCCATGTCATTATCAATATCCACAACCTCCATGGGTGGATCGTAAAGCGTAGCTGAAAAGGCAAATTGAAGTTTTCCGTCGCAGTGCAGTGGCACACATGAGAGTGCACGACGCCTGCCCCAGAGCTCGACGGGATACTCACTTGTTGGACAAACACGATGTCCAAGGTCAACAAACCCGTCCACCTGGGTCATTCCTAGCGAGCGACAGCAGGTACCGATGTATTCGTTCGGGTATAGTAGCCTTCGAATCGTGCTGTGTGCACCATCTGCCCCCACCACCACATCACCCCACTCGGTTTGCCCGTTCTCCAAAACAACGTGTACCCCGCCCTTGACACCTTCGTGCGGCAGAAGATCCACCGCCCGGCTATTGAAACGCACATCCTCGACATGATATCGAAGGATTCGGCGAAGGTAATCAGCGGAGAAGGTTGCACGAAGCGAAACGCTGCCAAGCTCTTGTTTCGTCTTCTCCGCAATGCGTTGTGAGACGATAGACTCACTGTTAGCGGCCGGTGCCGTGCTGAGAGGTATCGTGTCCCCCTCTCCCAGAGCCCTAAGCTGCACAGTCCGGTTGCGTACTCGGAGTAGCCAACGCAGGCGTTCGTCCAGGATCCCAAAGTAGTCGTCGGAAACGGCATCCCCTCCATTTAGCACGTGATCCATTCCAAACGCCTTGTAGCAACTCAACGCATTTGCAAATAATGTAAAAGGCGGCTGATACGTTGCCCGCAAAAAAGGTGCCTGCTCTAGCACGACACAATCAACGTTCAAACGGCGCAGAAAGGCCGCAAACGACAGACCCGAGAGACCAGCGCCTACGATAACTACTCTCATGGATATGTAAGTAATGCGTGTATATCTGGAAGTATACTTTTCTGGTTATCAAACTGAAAACAAATATACAAGGAAGTAGCAACGGCACAACTTTTATGCAATGACACTTACACATGTAAAGAAAACATCAGTACAACGCAAACACAATTGCACTGCAGGAGAATTCCCCCCCCCCCCTTAAAAAAAATGCAGGGGAATTCAACCCTCTCCCTCTATCTATTCATACCCCTTCCTGTAGACAAGTAAGCCATGTGTCCTCCTCAATACAACAATAACTCTCCCACTCACTTTTCAAGTCGCCTTCCACAGACACGGCGGCGTCAAACGAACTTCCCATATGCAACCACACCCGCGCTCCTGCAGGAATAGGCTCGAGGGCAACACAGGGCCCTTTGACACCAAGTCCAATTGATACTGACTCAATAGAGGCAGTTGCGTCCTCCTTCAGAGGAACTTTAGCCGCCCTTCGGGAAAAGGGAAGAAAACATCTGAGCCATGACATCCTTGAGCGTGGCCGAGAATTCAGTTCCACGCTGCCATACTGCATAGCAATAAGTAACCATGCGGCGGATAATGGTGTCAGCGGTGTAGAGCCCCTTAGCTTCTCATAGCTCCTCACCAAAAGGGCAGACAACGAGAGCACAACGGGGGCCGCGTATGACGGAATGTGTACGGGCTCATTCAGCACGTTTGCAAATGTGGGCAAGGCCCTCACCATCGCGAGCGCATAAGCGAGTCCGCTGAACTCTGCGGCCCACATCTCCACATCTTCGTCTGAGAAGGTCATGGCGTTCCACACCTTGGCGGCCACCTTATTCCATTTACGGTCTGCCGTCAGGATCAAGAACCTTTCTTCACAGTGAGACACAAAAAAGAAAAAAATATACTATGATCATAAGATCTCCCCCTTTTCCACCTGTCGTGAGGTTTTCCATGGCGCGCGTTCACCCCTGCCCTCAACAAGCGGCGGTAGTGTTCGTCCATCGCTCGTTTTTATGAAGCCGGGCGGGGGCATGCAGCCGAAAGTGATGGATCCCATTTCAAAGAACCGACAGCGTCAACCACCTTCTATGTTTGTGTGTGTGTGTAGAGGAAGGGAGGGAATAAAAAAAGACAAATAAGTGGTGTGCAATGGACAGTATACTACACAGGAGAAAGCAGCAGCCTGTAGTAACAATAACCACAGCAATAAGGCTCCCCCAATAAGGAAAAGAAAGAAACGTTTAGAAAAGGAACAAGCCACAACTCATAGAGAGCATCTGTGTAAAGAAAAGCGTGCCCTACTATGGCATGTAGCAGATGACCTGCCAATTATCATTCTTCCCACAGACCGCTGTTGTAGAAGGAAGGCTCCAAATTAGCAGGTGAGTCCGGTGTGTCTTCTTCTTCTAAGAGAGGGTTCTCCTGCGAAGACGCTTCTGCGCCTGCTTCATCCGCACCCTCGCCTCTCTCGTCTACTTCACGGTCCTCGTCTCCCTGCAACGGCGTCGCCTCCCTCGCCACATCTGTCGCCGCTGCCTCGGCGTTCTCTTTCGCCTCCAGAGTGGACGCCCTACCCCCGGGTTCTTTATACTGTTCCTCGTCAGCGTGCCGGCTTTCCTGCCGCTCGCCTCGCTTCACCACCGAGCCCTCTAACACCTTCTTCGCCAATACAATACTTCTTGCTACGGCATTCCTCTCAGCCCCCGAGGCTTCGGGCATTGGCAGCGTCAGCTGTTCCTCCGCACACCCGAGACGCGCAAGCGAAACAGTGTTTTCCTTCAGCTCGAGCAGCTCCCACCCGAAAAGCCGACACAAGAGGGCGCACCTGTCAAACGCCTCCTGGGAGACGCGACCCTCCACGTCGCGCAACAAGGAAGTAAAGAACGTACTCTGCTGGGGCGGGCTCATCGCCTGAACGGCGGATTCGTAGCGCCTCCTCCACTCCTCCGTTTCTCTTCGTTGCGTGTTCAGTTCCTCGCGTAACGCCATGAGCTCTTCATCTTTTTCGGACTGGCGATCAAGGAGGACGCGGAAACTATCTTCGGAGGTGCGTTGCCTTTTTTCTCCCCTGCACGCAGTGGAGGTGGTAGCGACCGTGGGGTCAACCTCCGCCGCACGCCGTCGGTACTCATCACGAAGCAAGTTAATCTGACGGCCGAGCTGTGCCAACTTTTCGACATCCGCCGCCAAACCGACCACGGCGTCTCCGCCCTGGTAGAAGCGACGGCAAGATTCGAGGTCAAGAGCACGCTTGCGCCTTTCGATTGTCTCCAGCTGTTGCTCAAAGCAGCACTGCTGGGTAGCAAGGTAGGCCATGGTGCTTTCCACGTCTCGCAATGCGGCTTCTCTCTTGGCACCGCGCAAAGACAGTAGTTCACTGTAGAGCGGCATCACACTATCAACCCCTTCCTTCGCGAAAACTACACGTACCTCTGCCAGCTGTTCTTGCATGCTTCGAAGCTCATGCTCAAGTTCTTGTATGCGCTCCGTCTCAGCCTGCGGAGGAGGTGAGAAAGAAGGTGCCTGTTGTAAGGAAGGAGGAGGCACCGTTGGCATAGCTGCCGGCACCATTGGAATTGAACCTGTCGCCTTTGCCGCATCCACGGCTGTCGACACAGCCTCGGTCTGCTTGGTTATGTCTTCAAGAAGACTATCGGTTTTTGCCATTGAAAGCCGCAGCTCCGTTAGCCAATCAGGTTCGGCGCCCACATCCTCCACGACAACTCCTGACGGGGGCTCCTTCACTCGCATTGGCGTCGTTTGCCGCATTGTCAGTTCACGAAGAGCGTCCACCGCTCCTTGGGCGACCCTTATAACCCTCTCGGCACAACCTCGTTGAACATCCTGAGAGCTCTTTTGCAGCATATGGTAGGCAAACTCATCACCGGCGACAGTGTGCATAAGGCCCATGATGCCACTCTGCAGCAGGCTGCTCACAGTTTCCTCCACCTGCTGCTCCGTGTTTGTGCCGATTGTACACATTACCCGCGCTGACGCTGCCGCTGGCTGGCCGCCGCGCCCTCCATTGGACGACTTCGAGGAGGTGAAGGAAGAAGAGCGCACCAGACCCTCAGGCTGAGAGGCTGCGGACCCCGCCGTTTGCGACGCCGCCGAGTCCTCCATGACGTAAACGTCACTACTGTGACTAGACATTTTCTGCGTTCTTGACCCAAACTCCACAAGGGCGGGGCCGTAAAGAGAAAAAGTGGGGGAGGGGGGGACGCAAAATGAAAGCGGCGTGGGTATGGCGTTAGAGAGCAAGAGCTCCTTAAAACAACAAGAAATAAACACCACAAGTCGATCCGTCAGCGGATGATGCCTCATTGCACCCACAAAGACGACCGTGGTGTGAGCGCCAGCACGGGTTGCTTGCATTGCGCCGGAGGCCCAACCAAACGGTCCTCTCTGCGATGAGGTGCTGCGTGGAGGGCGGTGCTGCCTCGCTGGGATGCATAAATGATACGAAAGAGGGGTATTGGACAGTGCCACGACAGGCGGCAGAGCGGAGTGGCGGAGCGGAAAAGGTGTTCCCAGTTAAATCTGTTTCCGAACACCGAGGGACAGAGAGACACACAGTGAGAGGGCGGAAAAGGAAAAGAAGAGACACCGCCCCACGTTGGGTAAACAGCAGAAAATAAATGGCACAAACATAACCCGAGCAGTGAGCACGATCGCGGGGCCCACAAGTACACAAGCAAAAACGGGGTGGAAGACAAATTGTATTCACAAGAACGCCATGAAACAGAGCAAACAGCAAGAACGAAATACAAAATAAAGGCACTTTATTTTCTCTACAGCGCCCTCTAACGCTTGGATTTTCTGGGCTTGACGGCATCGCCGTCAGCGCTCATAACCTCGACAGCGACGGCAACTCGCCCCGCTTCCGGGTCTTCTGGACTTCTCGGGCGCGTGCCGTGCCTCATGCGCCAAAAAACGCGCAAAAATCGCCTGGCGTTCAGAAGCAATTGCGTGTCTTTGACAAAGTGCCATTTGCATAAGAAGCACATAAAACTTAACAAAACAGCTACAGACAAAAAAGCAAAGAATACACAGGCGCGCCCATTCAGAAGTTTACTCCATCCCGAGGAAAAAGAAATCGCCAAAGGCGCATTGTGTCCTCCTCTTCTTCCTGCGTCGCACCTAGCGTGGGCGTGGGCGTCAAACTTTGCAGTCAGCTGAAAGCCACCTCTACCTCCATCGAGGACCAGTTTGATGTGATCATCCCTGGCATTGGGGTCGCCTTCCTTCTCGGCAAAGGTCGCTGCGTCAAAAGTGGCTACATCCTCGTCGGGGCCCAATGCGTTGAGTTTTCCCTCCGCACTGTTGAGGGCGCCTTCCTTTTCGCCACGCGCCTCGGATCCGCCAGGGCCCCCGGCGTCGGCTCCCAAACCGACAGGCGGGCCGTCGGGTTCTTGGGGTTCGCTAGACCTGCCGGGTTCCGCCGCCAACGCAGTGGCAGCAAAAGCCACAACGAACAGAAGCGAACGCAACAGAGGCCACATCGCGGAGGACGCTGAAGAATCCCTTTGCTTTGGGCAACGCCACGAGGCACGGAAAGGCAAAGAACAGCTGCAGATTGCCAGCAGCGCCAAGAGCAGCAGGGACGTCAAAAACATAAGTGGAGCAACGGCAACGGGGT